GGATTGCTGAAAGGTTTAAAGATGCATGAATGTTTTAAAAATGTACCGAGTAGTAGTCGAACAATTTTGGAAACACCAATAAACTCTTCAAATTTAATTCGAAATGTGAAACCAGGTATTTATTATCATTTCGGTTTAGCCAAAGGTATTCAGATGTATGCTCCAAATAATTTGAGTACTATTAAAATTGCAATAGGAATTGATGGACTGCCACTATCTAAAAGTAGCAGTAGTCAATTTTGGCCCATATTGGCATACATTGCAAATCATCCATCATATAAGACTGTTTTTCCTATCGGAATTTATCATGGAAATAAAAAACCTAGTGACAGTAATGATTTGTTATTAGATTTTGTTGAAGAAGTCAAACATTTAACTTTAAATGGTATAATTTTAAATAACACCAAGGTAAATGTTGTAATACAATAGATTTGTTGTGACGCTCCTGCCAAATCTTTTATTTTAAAAGTAAAGGGTCACRCAGGTTTTTTTTCATGTACTCGGTGTTCTATAGAAGGTGAATATGTTAATAGGCGGATCTGTTTTCCATAATATGGAAATATATTATACTCAATCAAAGTCTGCTAAAAGAACACATATTGCTTACGTTAATGCATTAGATGAAGACTATCATACTATTCCCTATGTTATTTCTAATATTTCTGAATTAAACAACATTGATATAGTAAAATTGTTTCCCGTGGATTACATGCACCTTGTATGTTTAGGTGTTATGAAAAAATTATTATTTCTTTGGGTTCAAAAAGGCYCATTAAATGTCAGATTACGCTCTTCAAAAATTAATGAACTATCTTCATTGTTATTATCATTAAATTCATGTACAACTTCAGATTTTGTGAGAAAAAACAGAAGTGTACAAGACTTATGTCGATGGAAAGCGACTGAGTTTCGCYTATTTCTTTTATACAGTGGGCCAGTTGTGTTGAAGAATATTATCAGTAAAGAGTGTTACAATAATTTCATGTCATTAAATATTGCAATGTTGATTCTTTTAAGCCCTGACTTTGGATTTTTAATAGATTACGCTAKACAATTATTAGATTTTTTTGTTCAAAGTTTTCAAAGTATTTATGGTGTACAATATGTATCTCACAATATACATGGACTATTACATTTATGTGATGACTACATTCAGTATGGCCCCCTGGATAATCGCAGTGCATTTAAATTTGAAAACCATATGAAGCAATTAAAGTCTTACTTAAGAAAACACGAAAAACCATTGCAACAAGTAATCAATAGATATCATGAAAGATATGCTGATAAAATAATAACATCAAATGAACTATTAACAACTGTTTTAMCGATATTTAAAAATATGCATACTAACGGTCCATTGCTAAACAATATAACTGGAACTCAATACCATACTATCATATTTAATAAAATGAAAATTAATATTAAAAATGATAAAGACAGTGTAATAGTTACAAAACAAAAACAAATTGTTAAGTGTATGAATTTTATTCATAATGATGACAAAAACACCTTATTTGTTGGAAAAAAGTACAAGATGGTAACTCCATATTTTGTGGAACCTATTGATTCTACGTTACTTGAAGTATTTGAAGTTCAAGACTTAAGTGACAGATTGTATAGCTGGAAAGTGTCAGATATATAAAAAAAAATGATGATATTAAAAGTTAATGGAAAAAATATAGCAATGGCTATTATCCATACAGAAATATAAAAATTTTTTCAACATCAAGTATTTTCTACAAGTGTATATATTCTGTAAATAATAAAATAATCAACCATCAAATTGTTAACTGTAATATAATTWTTATAAGTCAAAGCTAATTATGATGCCTATGGTGTATTTAATGTACATAATTTATATGATATAACTAACTGAAGGTATAATATTAATATATCTAAATCAAATAATTATAA